CGTGGAGGTAGTCTGCACACCAAAGCTCGCGTTTGGCTGCACAAGGTTCACTGCAGAAATATCAATGTGTTTGGCATTACTCAAACATATTGTACCTCTTGATAACTTTGGTTTTAGTACTGGCTAGTTGCAGGATATACGGTAATATATCTGTACTGCACTACCATTTCAAAATTCGAAAAATTCCGAATTCCGAAATGTATCTGGTCCCAAGGGGTTCGGATAATAGATTGTGTACTATTTGTTGTATTATTATTATTATATTTGTATTTTACTTTTATTTATTACCACCGGCATTATAAACATAATTCTACTCAACATATAGACTATGCTGGTATAAATATGTTCGTGCAGGGATCAAAGCTGTATTGGGGCGGCAATCACGAAACTTTATGCATTTTCTCCCGATCGATACCGTTCACATGGATCATCCAGATGATCAGCATCTTCTACTGTTCTAGTAAAATACCTGCATTCTAACTCTATCTATACAGATGTTGGAGAATTCACGTCTGCACGTATTGAATGCTGAACATTCGTTTTGTTTTAAACCAGCGTGGGGTCTAACGTAGTTTGTGTTGTCAACGTGGAAAGAGCCCGCCCCGACTCCCATAGTCTGTTACGTGTTACTTGCTAGTGATGTCACGTGTAGACATGTGTAAAGCTTGACCGTCGGCTGCGCTACCTTTCTAGGACGACCTCTCCGTCTGCAACGTCCTTCAGCCAATGGAGGTGAACGCAGTCAGCGAAGGAGAGCCGTGGGTCGCGCGTGATCTCATGGAGGAGTCTGCCAGAGCGACCATTACTTGGACAGACTCGCACGTAACGCGTACACAACTACAGGCATCGCATGCGAAGACTATATAGTCTGTCAACCAGCTTCTACACAAGCCAGGAGTTGACTGTGTAGCTAGTATTATATCTAGCTTGTATCGGTGGTCACTCATTCTCTATCACCGGTATAGAGGTGACGTTGTTGACCTTTGTTTGGAAACCATTTCGCGTTGTCGTTGTGATGATAGTCTTTCGAATTAAAAACAAAGTCGGCCGCCTTCGGGAACCGACGAGATTTTGATAAACGTTTACAGAGAATAGTTAGTTTGCGCTATTCAATTCAACCATGGTGAATAAACGTTTCTTTAATATCTCTTAAAGTAATAAACTATTCTTATCATGCAGATTTTCATTTTAGTTTTCCTTTTTATTCATTGTACATCAACAATATATACAACACTGATCCCAACATGTCCAATGGCAAACAATGACAAACCACCTTCCATGTATTTACAAATATGATAACATGATCACATGATTTTATACACAATGACAACACCCAGATAGAAAAAATGACAGCGAATGACTTAGGTTAAGCATGCATGGGAACAGGAAAATGGTTACAAAAACAAAATTGTCAGTATGACTGAATGACAAACAAAGATTGATGCATTTATGAACCGTATGTTGCTTTAGAAGTCATTAGTTTTAGTACATGTAAAATAATAGGATATCTGTCTCACTCTAGCCTAGGTAGACAAGACGACAATATACTGTAAATCTTGTGTTTTCCGCTTATTTATCTGTTGTAGACCGTGGCCGTGCGGCCGTAGACTTCGTGGTCAGCCATCTTTTATTTTTGGTGTGAACTGGTTGTCCTCAAACAGAGCTGGCCGCGTGTCGGCCATCTTGTGTTTTAAATCATTTTGTATTATCACGCTGTCCGCCGGGTCAGCCCCATCTTTGTTCTCGTATGACGTTGTTTCGACCTATGCCAATCGCACTGCCACCGTGTGCGGCCATACATTTCGTCTTCAGCTAATTTTCATTTGTGAGACTGGGGCAATGCTGCTGATCATGTTCAACCATTCTTTGTTCTTGTTTCACAGGCTTAATTGTTTTGGTGTCACGTGAGGGCAGGGGTCCGCACGTTAATTCTGCCAGCTAGCAGTATTGAAGGTGCGTATAGCAGATATGTGGTTCTCTCAGTTTGAGTGAAATGTTTTCTTAATTATTGGTGTTGTATGTTACATCAGAGCAGTGTAGTGTTTCTGAAAGTGGTGCTGAGCAAGCCAGCCATAGGGATTTGTTTTTGTTTATTCTGCCGGCTCCTACTGCACTTCTATTATGCTAGTTGTATGATTCAATTGGCATAGCATTTGGTTAATGCTACATAAATTACACAGTAGTAATAGAAGAACGTCAGATTTCATGGTTAACATTTGAATGTTTAAGTTAATCAGGGATTGGCCATGGAACAGAGTTGTTTCCACTTGTCATATTAATCAAAGATGAAAGAACTACAGACGATTCTATAGATATCAGAAAGGTTTTAAGGAGTTGCTTAACGCACCGAACGGAGGAATTCGTGGGGAGATTTTTGGCGCCCGTATTTCGAGGCGACATGATTAATCTTTTTTAAGCGAGTCTGAAGAACATTGATAGAGCGATGGGCAGGCAGACAGGTTCTAAAGAAAGATGAAAATGTACAGTGGCCACCAGTCGCTAAGCCGCCATCACTTCCCTGACACTGCCAGTAAGCCAGAGAATCTAGTGCAGGTCGACCTACCCTATTGCTCATTTACTAAAAATTGGTCATACAGGGTAGAACTGTCGGCCGTTGCGTAGCAACTTACCTTTAAATGGCTGTTTAATGTTTCCATTAACGTGGCTGCGGGATGCTTCCGGTTGTCCTGTATCGATAATACGTGTGTACATCTGCAACCGTCTCTTTAACAGCAGTTTATACCACTACATTGTAACGAGAAATGGCAGATTTACACGAGCTTTCACGTCGCATTGATTTATCGGAGGACGAAACCTCTCTTTAAGTGAACCGGAATATTATCCGACGAACTACTGACGTGTTGACATGCGTTCTCTTACTGTTGATTTGCCGTTCGTGATTTATCCTTATTAAATTATCAATATTATCATATTATCACATTTATATTTAATTTATATATTTATATGTATTATTATATGATCTTATTATGCATGATGCATTTGTGACTTACCTCATATTGACTATAACTAATATAACTATTGTTGCATCCTAATTTTCTCTCACCTCTTTTCGCTCGCAGCAGAAGAGTGACGATGAATCGTGCGGCGTTCAACAGTGGACTGGAAAAGGCGATAGATGATCTAAATCAAGCAAGGTGATGACGAACTTTCACAAATCTTTAAGAACGGAACCGTCCATCTTGCACGGTACACGTTATTAACGATGAACGAGTCATAAATATCAAAAAACAAGCGATTTCTAATACTGCATTCTTTACACGGGCCGTTTTAGTTGTAAGAAAACTGCTGTTTGAAAGCCACCGGAGCAGAATTAGTACTGCCTTAGAAGTCACATATTGGGTTTATGCCGTTATATATGACAAGTATGATAGGTAATGTGTATGTGCATATGTTGTAATGGTAGTTAACATATAGGTAATATATGTGTACATGTGTATGAACTTACTTTAACGTATTTGTACGAAACTATACATGAAGATGCCAACATATTGTAACATTGATTCTCCTTTATTTCCCTACAGGGGCGCTCACATGCAGCTCATCCAAGTAACTACCACAGAGCAGTTTCCAGACACGGTTCTGTCGAACTCCGCCTTACAAGTCCTCGCCGTGCGAAACGAACTCATTAACATACACCACGTCATTGGTCGAGCAGGTGTGAAGAAACACAGCCAAACTTCTTGAGAGCCGACGCGCGCGGCACGAGAACCGATTACGCGCAATTTTCTGGAACACCGCTTTTGTGGGATGCCGGCAGTTTGCTGTATAGGTGTTTCCTGCTACAGAGGCAATAAATTGTCACCGGGGGGGAGCGGGGGCACGAAGGGTCGGCAGAGGAATACTGGCATTTACAGTTATATTGTTCCCG